TATATAACTGGCCTGCTCCCTCCTTACTATGAGTCCAGTGACTACCATTCCAATGACCACTTGCCAATTTTTGGCAGGGACCTTTTGAAGTACCGGCAGGGGTTGTCTGAATAATGTGAAAGGGCTCTGTGCTCTCTCTCTCTCTCTCTCTCTCTCTCTCTCTCTCTCTCTCTCTCTCTCTCTCTCTCTCTCTCTCTCTCTCTCTCTCTCTCTCCTGCGTGTATACACACATCACAGTTTTTTTTTTGTTTTTGTTTCTTTGCGCGCGCACCTGGGATTGGCGCACTACACACCGCGCAGCGTGCTGCACAGCGCACTTCACCTACGCACCACAAGTATGCTAATTAGTAGTGCCCCACCTTTGTGGGTTTTTTTCGTTTTTTTTTTAAGGTGTGAGATCTATGGTAAGGTGGGAACTACATCAGCATCCCCTGGCCTTCCCTGGTTATTTTGACATCGTTTTCCAACACCAGCGTATGCTTTCATACAATGATGGGGTGTATGGTGGTCACCCAAATAGAGTGCCCAGTCATTATTGCTGTATCCAGACTGCAAGTTGCACCAAATACTGTTGTAATGACTGGGCGTTCTATTTGGGTGAAGAGGGTAGCAATTAGCAGCCTCTTGGATGCCAAGTCACCAGAGAGAAGGGCCCCTGTTTCTTCTTCGTTTTTTTTTTTTTTTTTTTTTAATTTAGGGGTATGACTTCAGCAGGAGTCACAAAAACGAGTTATAATTGCAGTATGGGGCAAGATACAGTTTGCAATTGCACTTCAGGCACCCTACCTGGCCAGAAATCTGGGTTGTATACATTGCCGAAACTGCAATTCGAAACTGTATCTTGGCCTATAGTGCAATTACAACTCATTTTTGTGACTCCCCCGTAGTTTCCCCTTTAATTTAATAGGATCCATTCTTTCCCTTTTCTTCTTCTTCTTCTTCTTCTTCTTCTTCTACTTCTTCTTCTTCTTTAAAAAAAGAAGAAAAGAAAGAAAACATGGGCCGCGTAGGAGCGGCCACCCCCTCCACCAAATCCATTCTATTGGTGGGGAGCCACACCTTGCTGGAAATCAGGTTCAGCCTCGTTTCACCGCATCAAAAATGTGAACAATGGGGAGTGTACCTTGCCACCACCTGTTTCAACTTTCAAGATAACTCGCCACTTGAAGAATCGGCCCCACTTGTCATGTTTGGTTAAGATGAGGAGTGAGGCCAAAAGGAAACCAACAGGAAAAACCGTGAAAAAAAAAAAACAAAAAAAAAACCGTGAGAATAAAGAGGCCAAAGCGAACTCCTAAAGGCTAAAATGTGTGCACTACAAAATGAGCAGTAGTGTCAACAATTATCCGACGAAGATAGATGGATTTATTTAATAACTACACAACATGCCCTAGAAAAGACAAAACACTCTCTCGCCAACACATGTCTGGCAGATGGACTTTGGGGGTACTCACACTATCCGTATCTCAAACGTATCCGACCGCATTTATGGCCCCGACTTGGATGCATCTGACCGCAATTACATCCATAAATAAGTAAAAAAAGTCCTAGTGTGAGTATGCCCTTAATCACTACCCAACATGCCCTAGTTTATCAACCAGGACAAGGCATGGGATTGTACCTGGCACTGCTCGCAGCATAAAGTAGGGCAAAATGTTCAAAGAATGTGAAAATTTTCGCTCTTGGTTTAGAAATCATGTTCCTGAGATGAGAATTTGCTTTTCCTGATCCTGGAGTACAAAACTAAAATGCTCAATTACCTGGGGCCAGTCAGTTCTTTTTTTTTTTTTTTTTTTCAAACAGGCCCAGTGTCTACAATGATATCTCGAGCACATTGCCCAGCACACATTGCCCATTTTATGAATAAAAAAATAACCAAAATTTTTTGGGCCATCCAGGTATTTTCAGAATAGGTGTGAGGCTACAGCCCTACCTTCTTCCCCCGAGCATAACGCATATGTGTTGTAAACAAATACAACCCATAGGGTGCGTACTATTCGAATACAACACATATGCGTTCTATTCAAATATCCCAAAATCTCGAATACAACGCATATGCGTTCTCCAATTCTATTCGATTTTTTTTTTTCAGATTTTGAAACTCGAATACAACACGTGTTATGTTCGGGGGAAGAAGGTAGTCACCCCTCACAAAAGGCGATCCAATAAAATGTGGGTGGACCCTAAGTGAAAAGTTGACAACAGGGGTTGAGCAGTAGTACATCCTTCCCAGGAAGGGAAGCAATAAATGCTGCCGTCTTGGGGTGGGTCCCTTGACCGTAATGAAGGGCCGCATCGATGTAAGGCATGCTGAAAACCGGGTTTCCAGCCTTTTAACAAAAATACTTCCTTTTTGAAAACGAAGGACGTAAAAAAGAAGGCCGGGCACGAGGAGCAGATCCAACAACAAATCCAGATGGAGCTTATGAGAAAATGGCAAACTTTGAAGCGCCAGCTAGACCTCTTTCAGACTAATCAGGATATTAGGAAGGCAATCTCCTCCTTCGGAAGAGACTGGTTGGGAAGGGATGGTGGCGGATGGGTGGCGAGAGTAGAATGGAGTGGTAATAGGGAGGACCAACACAGCAGGACTTGGTAGAATGCAGGGACTACCGCCTCATTTTCAACAACTGGTTGAATATAGACCCTTCTTTTCCGCTCCGCCCCCCAACAGACTTCTCTGACCCTTTCCCACCACACATCCGCTTTCCTTGATCGAGACGATTGTCTGAGAGTGTACATGGAGTGTACATGGATGGGTAAGGGTGTGCCTGAGTGAGCCTGAGTGTGACAGAGGTGACTAGATTGCTTGTATGTTGGGTACATTATTCTAAAGTCCTCTCAAACGATAGATGACAAAACACCCCAGGTCTTCGGTGCCCCTCCGGGCCCTGGGGAGCTTTTGTCAATCAGAAGCAGTCCACAATGCTGGTGGAATTCAGAAGTTTCGAAGGTCCTTTTTGACTCTATCCACAACCTTATCTTAGGAATTTGTAAATGGGACGCTGGACCCGGTTTCCAGCAGGTTCTGCTCCCCACCAATAGATGGAGCCTCTGTTGTGTGAAAAAAAAAAAAAAAAACAAGCTACTGGGCCTTTGTTTGGAACTCAGCCCAGGTAGCTACCCGGTAGGCTCTGTTGCAATACAGACCAGGCAGGTACCTGAGTTAAGAGCCAAGGCAGTAGGGGCTGCCTACCGGAGGACCGGAGGCCCAGATGCCGTCCAAAGGAAAGAACACAAGAAGAGGAGGCCGGGGCACACACACACACACATTGGGCAGGAGGCGGTATCATGCGGCAGCACTGACAGAGCGCGCAGGCACAGCCCGTGCAGGAAGGGGAAGGCAGGTTGCGGTAGCTGCCTGGCGAGCGCACACCATAGCTCTTTAGCTGCACTGTTTGAGGGAGAAGGTGGCGGGTGGTCAGGGTAGGTCGGCAGAAGTGGGAACTTGCAGATACTGAGTACCTGGTGTTGGCCGAGGACCGCCTATGTGATCGGACACTTCAGCAAAATCTGACAATGGGAGAGCAGAGAGAGAGAGAGAGTAAGAGGTAGTAGGCTTGTGTATGCAGGTTGAGTAGGAGAGTAGTATAGGTAACACACCATAGTTAGGGCTACTACTCCGTTGTTCTATTGATCGTTGAAGGCACAAAGAGGGCATTCATTGTCAAGAGACTTCGGTGTTCAGTGCTTTGTATTGATTGTGGAAGGCACAAAGTAGGCTAGCGTGTGTAGGTTGAGTAGGGGAGTAGTATAGGCTGTGTGTAGATTGAGTAGGAGAGTAGTATAGGCTGTGAGTAGATTGAGTAGGAGAGTAGTATAGGCTGTGTGTAGGTTGAGTAGGAGGGTAGTATAGGCTCTGTGTAGGTTGAGTATCAGAGTAGTATAGGCTGTGTG